GCGATGTGACATCTCAGATGAGGTCGATGCAGCGTTTCAGACGAGATGAATTTGGCGTTTCAGACAAGATCGATGTAACGTTCCAGAAGAGATTGATGGAGCGTCTCAAACGAGATCGATGTAACTTCTCAGACAATATCGATGTAGCGTCTCAGACGAGGTCAATGTAGAGTCTCAGCCGAAATCTATGTGCCGTCTCGGACGAGATCTATGAAGAAACTATCACCTACCGCAGGCCTAGTATGGATTGTTTGCCGTGAAAGAATGTTTGCCAGCGGACGAAGATTTTTCACTCAAAGATGAAGAACCCCTGGTGTCCTTGTTTCGAGACATTTTTCGAATCCCCGGTGTCCCGGGCTCTGCACGGATTGAGTAAATTAAAACATAGCTGCGTTTAAATCACAGGTGTTGATTTGTATTCTTTTATGACAGTTCTGACCCCCTCACCCTAATGTTAAGCTGGCTTGAATATAATAAGAATGTAAGAAAAAGCTGGCAATCACACACAACCATCATATTTGCTCGTTCCTCGTAATGGCGTTATCATGGAGGATACAATGGATTGACTTGACCCAGCAATTCAAAACTATTTCCTGATATGGGAGATGACACAACACGTCGTTAAAGCATTTTGTAGTGCGACTTTTATTCTTCCACCTTAAGCTTAGGTGCTTTTTTCCCCGCAACATGAACTTTAAACTGACGCCACTGATTCAGCGGTTTCATGGAAGCCCTTTTGTGCCAAGCGACATTTTATTTACTACCGTGGAGGTTTACAAATCTAACATTGCTTCACGTAACGTTGGTACGCGAATTTCTCTGCTGCACGGTTTGATGAGAAGACAACACCGGGTAACGGAGTGATTTCATCGGTGCAGCGACGTTAATTCATACCACAGTTCCAGTTCAGCGACAAAGAGATAAACAGCCCTAAAACGTAAATTTTGCTGTCGAGGAACTTTCACCTGTCTCTGCGCTAGGCATACTTGATTGCTAGCATTCCGTACTCGCAATCCCGTTACTGTAATGCATGTTCAACGACTCAATTTTTTGTTTTGGTGAAGAAGATGATGCGCTGCGTAGAATGTGGTGGGCTGTAGGATGGTCTAGGATGTGACCACCTTTGAGAGGGTGGTGATGCGCTGGATGGGGGTGCTGGTTTAATTTGAGGTGTGGCTGTTTGTGGGAGGGTGTCAAAGAGACATGAACAAGTGCCAGCGATAATGTTTCTCCGAGTTGACCTTTAAACGGTTTGTTTATCCACATGAAACCAGGCATCATCGTTCTGGAAATCAACAACTGGGCTTGCCAGGTCGCATAAGATGGAGAACGCCCAGACCTTTATGGGGGCCCTGTTATGGAGTACCAGCAACTGCAGAGGCCATGTTAACGCCCGGTGACGTGGCACAACTTAGGCCTGAACTCGGACGTAACGTGGGAGCCGAAGGTGCTAACCAATCGACCATGACGCTCCCCCCTTCGCTGTTAGTTGCTGGGTGGAAAGGACATTGGAAAGGTCATCCTATCTGCTGCTGGTCGACGCTTCCGAACGCAACGGAGACAACTTGTTCGTAAGAAGAAAAACAATCGGGCACTCTAATTCACCGGAACTCCAGATAGGAGCTCAGCCAAGTAAAGGTCGTCTAGCTAGCACAAATCCCTACAACTCACATCAGCACAAGCAGCTTGGAGGCTCCGGGGTCTTTCGGCGCTAATTCCTATCATTTATCTTCAGTCGTCAAAGAAATTCTGTCTCCAGGTTCCCGCACCCCGACTGGTCCCCAGGGGACCCGCCCGCACTTGCAAGCTCAGGGCCCCGGGAGCTGGCGGTCGGAAGCGGTGCAGACGATATGTCCCGTGGGGGGGGGGGGGGGGGCACCGGTCCTAGCTGCAGGGTTGTCAGTGATTGCAGGGTCCCCATAGCAACAGCTTCGCTCGTCGCCACCAGAGCGCGTTCCACGCATCCCAGACGTGGTCTCGGGGCCGCGGCCGGGCGACGGTGGCGCCTCCACCTCCGCTGCGGCCACCGCTCCGGTCGGCTTCGGAACGTGGCCGGCTTGGTCAGTCGTCGGTCGGGCGGCTTCCCGAGGATCGTGATGAAGGCGTGGGCGGTGCTGCTGTTGACATGCGTGGCGGCGGCTGGTGCATTGAGGACAGCTAAACAGTAAGCCGATGTTGCGCAGACTGGTACTGCTGAATGTACATGCGCCCATTGCTGAGTGTTCCACATTTGCATGGGGTTTGGAACTGAAATGGCCGTCTTAAAGATCATTCGGTGCAGTTCAGAACCATGCCCTTCTTAAGACCTAAACCCCCCTCGTTTTTTGTGCAAGGTACTATGACGCAATCAAACTATGACACATTCCGGAACATATTTGGTTGCCATGGAAATTGTGTTATCTAGAGCGGTCTTTTCGACTTGAACGTATCCCAAAAGCTGTAAGTGAGCTTATTTCATGATCTGATGCTTACTTCGATCGGCAAAAAATACAGTTCCTTGAAGAGCCTGTCAGCGCCCACGTTCCGCCGCCTATGATCCGACTGCAGCTTTCTGTTCAACAGAGATGCGGGCAGGATCTCTGCTCCACAAAGAGGTGGGCAGGATTTCTGTTCCATAGAGAGGCGGGTAAGATCCCTGCTCCATCGCCTATGATCCGACTTCGGCTGTCTACGCCACTGTCCGTTTTATACTTCAATCATGGTTCCGTAGGCGTCCGGTACCTCAAACGCCTACGCAACGCGCTGTTTCGCGGTATGCGCCGTACCTATATTGCTATGGATACGCCAGATTCAGCGCCGTATGCCACTTACCATCCTGTTTGGGACTCTACCTAAGAAGACGTCGCTCTACTCAGTCCCTCTACCGGACAGTGCACAACCTATGATTCCACCCAGCCCCTGACTGCTCCCATCACCCAACCAACCCGTGACTCTACCCAGCTTATGACTGCACCGAAGTCGTACTTACACATGACTCTACCTCCAAAGTCTCCTAGATCATTCTGCGCTGATTTCGTTTGTGGACTTTGCCTGTCAAATCACACTGAGATGGGCTGTTTCCTGCCACGGCGGCCGTGCGAAGCGAGACAAAAAAAATGGAGTTTCGAAAAACAAATCCTGCTGTCCATCGCGATGCTCTGCTTTGAACTGGTGTCAGCCAGGTCAGGTCTTCACCGCGATGCAACCTCCCCAGACAGGCCGCTGGGCCGTGAAGTGGGCTGCTAAGGATCTCGTGATTGGGAGATTCTTGCTAAGAACGCTCCGCTCGGAAAACTTGAATTCAGATACGCCCGGACCACCACTTCTGAATAATCATTTATGGGCGTTTCTCGGGCTCAGATGAGAAACGAAAGTCGAGCTGCGACTCTCCCATCGATTAAAGCCCAATACGCCAAGCACCAGGCGCGCTCAGAGCGTACCGGTTCATCAGGACGCGCAAACAGCAGACAGGCCCATAGGCACCCCTCAATTTCAGATTAACGCGCTTAAGGCATCGCCACAGGGCTGATGATTGTTGGTGGTCGCAGGCTGTTGATGCTTGCGCAGGAAGTTTGAGCGTGGTGAACTGCTCTGACAATGTCCCGGTCTTTGCCTGCGTCCCTGCCCTGCCCATAACCCTGTACCTGCCCCTGTCCCTGTCCCTGTCCCTGCGCCCGCCCTCTGCCCCTGTGCCTGCCGCAGCCATTGTCTCTGTTCCTATACCTGTCCCTGCTTCCGTATCTGTATCTGTATCTGTATCCGTATTTGCCTCGGTGTCCGTATTTATATCCATCTCTGTATATGTTTCTATATCTGTATCTCTCCCTGTATCTGTCTCTGCATCTATCGCTGTGCCTGTCTCCATATCTGTATGTAGCTATGCGTCTGCCCCTTCCTCTGTTAATTCGGTCATGTCTGTTACAACCGAGGCATCAAATCCAATCGTAGCTTGGAGTACCGCGTGCCTGATGCGGTCTTGGTTTCGATGCGTTGTACCACAAACTGCCACGGACCACGTATGACAATGCGCAATGGTCTTGATGCGCCATAGTGAAAAGCCAAGATTGTTGTGAATTTTCGACGGTATCATTTTGCCTTTCATCATCTGTGGAATGCGTGGGATCATGAAGCGTTCGGGAGGGCCCGAGCAGGCTGTTTAGACTCATGCCAGCACCAGTCTGAGCAACACATCTTCAGCGGTCATGTTGCGTACTTGGATCGCATTGATTACTCTTCCAAATGTAATCAATGCGGTCCGGTCGCCTGTGCTCTGGTCTAGATGGCAACGACCCCGGAGCAGCCCGCCGTGCCGAAAATGGCAGCTTTTATGTAATGAAATGTGGGCAGATATACCTGAATAAAGTGTGCCTCAAGCGTGTAAATATTGACGGACAAATCCGCCTGGAGACTAAACAGGGAGCGGCGCGAACGCTGCAAGCTGACGACGGCGCGTCGGATGGGCAGAGATGACCGTGACCAGGGTTGTAAAAAGGAAGCAAACTTGAACGAAAGCAACAAAGTCCGCGAGTTGCAATCATTTCAATGATCTGGCTGATGTAATTTTCCATTCCTCTCATTAGATCTATCGGAAAAATTGCCTGGCTAGATGCCGTTTGTGTTGACGCGTCGATTTTTGCCAGATGTTCCGTTCGTCCTAAGCTTCAGCCGGCCCAGTTGTGGTAGAGGACCTTCCAGGCGTCCTGTGCGTCTCATCGGTAACGTCATCCCCTTCCACAGCGGCTTCGTCTTAACGTCGTCCAAGGTGCTGCGGGCGGGCACCAGTCACCGTATCTGCATCACGCTCTTCAACGCGCCCGGGCCGAGGCGAAACGTGCACCTCACCGCCTGGGCGATGCCGGGGGCCTCCCCTGGTCGACGCTGGTGGAGAGAATACCGGACACTGTGGGCGGTGAGCTTTCAAGGCGTACCTACTTCGGGTACACGGTGGGGATCACTTAAGAGGACCTTAGAGCTATCCCATTCGCGACATGCGTAAAACGGTGCTTCGTCATCAAAATCGCTTAGGAGCGCTTTAATTGCTCTCCTG